GCCAGGGAGCAGCTGTAAATTAAGGGCATTTTATACAGTACACAATATATTTTACGTTATAGATGGAACTCATGTTTTAAGCTTAAAGCACATGTGCTTTTGAACCACATAAAAGATCAATGAATTATTAAATTAAATAAAAAAACTACATTAATTGTAAATCAGTCAGTCAAAGGAAGTCCATGGGGTTCTCAAATGGGTTATAGGTGCTATTAAACTAAATAAATATTGGTGGGGTGTTCAAATTAGGGTCCTGTAAAACAATATTAAGCATAAATGAGTTAAAAAAATTATCATAGTAGTAGTAATAATTATAAATAAACAAATTGCCATCTGCTACTTGTGAAAGAGCCTTACACGTAGTGTTTTAAGTTCCACCTTCGTTTTGCTGTCTCTCTCAATAAATATGAAGCTACCCCACAGTTATTGCGTTCCATATTAAAGTGGCCTTTTAGTACCAGAAAACTGACAATGAATGTTCTGTCTCTATGAAGCCAAATATGGGTGGTTTATACCTGGATCAGGCAGAAAGTTGACGTCCCATGCTAAAGCCTCATTGAAGAGCATGCTGACCTTGAGACAAAGAGTGTAGATTACTCAAAGTCAGGATGGGAGAAACACTAGCGTAAGACAGCCTGAGACACCCTGCGCTCTTCACTAAAGCTCTCACTATCGCTCTTTCTTTATCCACAGAATAGATTACACGTCCCTACTAACGGCTGACTGACATATCACCACGCATATGCAAGCAGTCTGCTGCCCTCAAGACAGAGGAAAGAAGAAGAAAATTGAGGGAGAGAAGAAAGAGAGAGAGAGAGTAAAAAGAATGGTAGAACAGAAGTGTCAAAATGATTCAGCTTTACAGGAAGACACATTGTGCCCTGCTGAAAAAAGACTAATGTGCCTAATGATTTTTGATTACGTGTGAGGAGACGCTGTGAAGAAACCTCACTAAATAATGTCTCATGTTCTCTTTCTTCTTCTCTTCCTCTCTCTCTCTCCTTTTCTTTCTTTATTTATATTTCTCTCCTGTAAGATTGTGTTATCTAAGGCAAACAGTTTGCAGCTGAGGGGGAGAAAACTCAAGGTGAGACTAGCGGTGGCAATATTAAATAAAATGAGGAGTGCAGAGATAGATGGGATGGGTGTGTTCGGGGTGAGAACTGACCACAGCTCTGGGCCAATGGAAGCACAAAGCAATATGTATCCCTGGAGACCAAACCGAACATAAAATCAAACCATAAATGACCATAACTACCATTACTAAACAGCAACTAATGTCAAGTAGAGGTCAGTTTTCCCACAGTTTGACCTGTACACATGCATTAAATAAATAAATAAATAAATAGCAGTTGGTGTGGTGTTCAAATGAGTTATAAGGCTGCATTTCTCTGACCAAAAATACAGTAAAACTGTAATATGGTGAAATATTATTACAATTTAAAATAACCATTTTCTATTTTAATATTTACGTCTGATATGGGTTTCAGCAGTGGGTGTGGTAAAATGGCTCAATAGCACCACCTATACACTTTCAACGATGTGCCCCTCAAGCTGCGTTTCACGTACATGTACGAAAATCAGTAGACACATGTAACTCACCAATACCTACGAAAAAGTCCCCTGGAATGAAATCCGAATCCCAACAGGAAGTCAGTTATTTCGAATTTTCCCAACAAATTTTGTGCCATTTTTGCCATTTTCAAGGCATCGTATTTTAACAAACTCCTCCTAGAAATTTTTTTCAGATCAACAACAAATTTGGTCTGTCTAATCTAAAGCCCTTTGTGACGTTAAATTGCGAAGATCTTGTTCGATGTTTCGCCATGGAAAAAGTTGTTGTTGTAACTCAGCCATACAATGTCCAATCTGCCCCAAACTTCACAAGTTCAATAAGAGTCCTGGCCTGAACACATCTAAATGCCAACATTCCGTTACAACCATAGCGCCACCTGCTGGCAACAGGAAATTACTTGTTTTACACTAACTTAAACATGCACTGTACAATTTGCACCAAACTTTACATTTAGTAAGAGGCCTGGCCTGAAGACATCTACATGCCAATATTCTGTTGTAGTCATAGCGCCACCAGCTGGAAGCAGGATGTTTGGCACATATAAATGACTGACATATTCCTTCTATATTTACCTCTTTAAATGCATATTGCTCACCATTCGCTGATTTCATAAAGCCACCGGGTGGTGGTGAGTCCAGGTGCAAGGGACCTTTCAACGCTGCTTGTAGCTTTGATTTAAAATGTAATTTATTGCTGTGATGCAAAGCTGAATTTTCAGCATCATTTCTCCAGACTTCTACAGCATTCCAATATGCTAATTTGCTGCTCAAAAATCATTTCTCATTATTATCAATGTTGGAAAAAAAGTGCTGCTTAATATTTTCTTGAACAGCAAGTTTGAATTTGTTTTGTAACATTATAAATGTTTTATTGTCACTTTTGATCAATGTAATCCTTGCTGAATATAAGTATTACTTAAAAACAATAATTAATAATAGATAAATAAACAGATATTAATATACATATTTGTGTTTGAAACCATAACACTTATTTTGATTTTATCAAGACTTGAGTGTGAATATTTGAGTAAATCTGACACACGCATACCCTCACACACACAGGGTTTGTAGCAGCAGGAGCTGAGAGGATCTGTTGTGGATAAACAGATGGACAGTGTCTTCTTCCTCTTGCCGTTGTGGTGGGGAGGTGTATGCTCAAGTGATCTGCAGAGGCCCGAGGAAGACACGAGATCTGTGTCCGCGTACACACACATGCTCAAACACAAATTTAAATACACTTGGCTATTCATTATACAAGACGTGAAACTGAAAAAGTGGAATATTAATGAAGAGTAGCAGAGTGTTTATAATGGTAAAACATCTACATTCATCTTGCGCCTTATTTACACACTCACAACTTATTACCTCCTACTCGTCAGCCTAAAACCTCAAGCTAACCTATCAGTGCTGAGTGATTCATAACCACTGTAGTCTTACTCAGAACGACCCAAGGCTATACCCACTCTTCTGTCCCATCTCCTATCCTCTCCTGTGGCTGGCCGCATCTGGTGAAAAGTGGTCTGTTTTAGAGAGTCAACATTTTCGGTGTTGTGGGTAATGGACAGACAGAGCTGGCCAACAGCCAGGAATGGTGAAATGGCGGGAAAGAGGGATAAAATGGAGCCCACACAGATCAAACTGAGAAGGTATGCTGCAAAAGTGACTTTTAGCAGTATGCCAGTTCTGAGTACTTGAGAAGAGACTGAGAGACAGAGCAAGCAGTGAGACAGCGAGTGACCTCTCTGAGTGTGGCGTCCGGTCAAGCAGAAGAAGGAGCGGATTGACCATGACCTGCACGGACCTGCACTGCTGCTGTCCCTATATCCCTTGCTCCACGCACATGCACAGCGACTCACGGCCGGGATAAGAGGGTATGACCTCGGTGTTTATTTCCCCCTGGGGTATTCAGTCACTCACTCAAACTGCAAACTGCTGTGGTCACAAGTCCCATCTAAAAAGGCGTGTATACCTCTAAAAGGTACATCAACATTCGTTTTAATGCACAGAGGTGGCATAAATGTATTCACACAGGATTTCCAATAGTGTGACAAAAAATGAATCACAAGTTGATTGTTGACTCTTTGCACAGCTGACTGAAAACAAGACACAGAATAACTGTTAAGATGAGGATAGAATGTAGATTAAGTATGCTGGTAGACTCTGGTGATGCACGATGCAAATGCCAGAGCAAATGCAAAAGTTATCAGACATTAGATTAGCTCAATCAAACTGCAGCTTTTCTGAAATAATTTAATATTTTCATTCAGTAAGGCTGTATTAAATTGATCAAAAGCAACATTAAAGACATAACGTTACACAAGACTCTAATTCAAATAAATTTTCTTTTGAACTTTCTACTCATCAAAGAATTCTGAAAAAAATTAATCATGGTTTCCACAAAAAATATTAAGTTTTGAACACTGATAACAATATTCATAATATTATGTTTCTTGAGCAAATCAGCATATCTGAATGATTTCAGAAGGGTCATGTGACCCTGAAGACTGGATTAATCGCTGCTAAAAATTAAGCTTTGACATCACAAGAATACATTACATTAAAATATATTAAAATAGAAAAGAGTTATTTGAAATTGTAATAATATTTCACAATTTTACAGTTTTTACTGTATGTTGGATCAAATAAATGCTGCCTTGGTTCTTTCCAAAACATTTAAACTGAAGTGTATATAATTCTAACCTCAAATAATAATAATTTTGGCTCTAGCACAAATGAAAAGTCTGACTATGTGCATGTACGGCCAGTATAGACTGAAGGTTCGCTTTCTCACTGTCCATCCGCGCTGCCATGAGGCTGAAAAAGACTCCCACAGGGACTGGTAAAGATTGACCGATAGATTGAGAGATCGATAGATGAGTGAGAGATACTTCCTCTTGTGTTCATTGAAACCCCAACTTAATTTTCCGTTCCTTTACTCATCTCACCATCTCTCTTACACCTTATGGGAATAGTTCACCAAATATGAAATTGTCATCATTTACGCAATCTCATATTGTTCTAAATCTGTATGACCTTGTTATAAAGAGCACAAAAGGTGATTTTTTTTTTTATCGACAAAACATGCTGGCCATTTCAGTACAATACATGTCAGTGACGGCTGCGACTGTTAAGCTCCAAAATGACAAAAAAAAGCACCAAGAAGCATCATAAATGTGATTCATAACACTATGAACTATATCCCAAGTCTATATATATATATATATATATATATATATTAGAGGTCGACCGATGTATCGGTTTTGCCAATTAATCGGCACCGATAGTTGATTGCTGGAACTATCGGTTATCGGCAAAAATCCATGCCGATAGTTTTCCGGGTTGCGTCCATTGCTGGAGCGGCTGAGAAGGGTCTGCTGTCATTACACAGTGCGAGAGCGGCCTCTAGTGGTTGAAATCACTGACAGCATGTGCTATTTGTTTAGACACGTGATACTGCACGCTGAACAGAGCGGGAAACTTCAGACGTGAATTTAAATGCAGAATGCCGACAGAAAATCCTGCCACGCCACAGAGCGCCATTCACATAGTTTTCCTTTAAATCACATTATATTAGTCCCGAATCATTGTTAATGTACATAATGAATTGTGTATTGTGCATTTTCAGCAAAACGTTTGTCTTTCTGTGGCTCGAATAAAGTCTGTGTGCTTCATTTATAGAGCTATAATATAGGTCGCGCTTTCTCTTTCCTTTTGCTCCGTTTTTTAAACACCGAACTTCAAACTTATCTATGCCAAATTGTTCATTCTTGAAGTAAACTTGTGTCTGTTTGGTGATTAAATAAACTGTTTTAGACCGCTGCTCGAGGTCAACGCGTCCGGAGTGTGTGTGATACCGGTGAGTTCTCCTAGACTCAGCGCTGCGCTTTTATTTTGATTAGATAATCATCAAGTGTTCAAGAATAGAAGCAGTTAAAGTGTGAGAGTATACATACAATATCCATATGTATCAACCCTCTACATTGCGAGTAAATCACTCGCATATGCGACTAAATCTTCACTCTGGGCGACTAAATTATGTCTAATATTAGCCAATTGCTAATAAATTCTCAGATTTTACTCGCCAGTGTGTGAGTTGGAGGCTAAATATAAGTTTAGCACAGATATATTTTCACTCGCCGAACACTCTGAGCGCTTCAGAGTTTCCCTCTGTCAACTGATCTGTGATATTTTTCAGTTAATCTGAATGGATGTGCAACGCACCTGTATTTAATGTACCGTAAACTCTAGCGTGAAGAGCACGACTCGCTGTCGCTTTGTTTTTTGAGAGAGAATTGACGCGCTACTTATGCGCGCTACATGTAAACAATATTCTTTGTTGTATTTTGCTGTGAAATTAACGAAGTTCCTTTGGAATTCTTCCGCTTTTAAGAACTACCGCTTTCTCCGGTAGTGGGCGGAACTAATTATTATAATGCTTGACTGACTGATGTTAAGAGTGTACTTTCAGATATTTATAAAACTGCCATTTTACAAACAACCATTTTATCAGTCTGGCGAGTAAACAAAAAAATGTACTAGCCAGTGGCGATTCAATTGCCAAGGTGTTCGTAGAGGGCTGTGTATATCATTTTAATGCTATAGCCTTTGTGTATATATTTAAAGATGTGCATCTTTAAGCACGACAGTTGAAATTAAGTGGCATCACTTTAAAATAAGAGTCCATTTGTAGCATTAAGGTTAATGAAAGCTGTGTAAGTATTGTTCCTTGTTAGAGGGTGTTAATTTCAACATTTACTATTACTATTATTATTATTTTTACTACTACTACTATGGTATGGTTCAGTACTGTTTTTGTTAATAAAGCACTATTTTAGTTTTTGTTCAGTATCAATTTTAAAACAATCGGTTAAGGTGTTAATTTCTACATTTACTATTACTATTATTATTATTTTTACTACAACTACTAGTATGGTTCAGTACTGCTTTTGTTAATGAAGCACTATTTTAGTTTTTGTTAAGTATCAATTTTAAAACAATCGGTTAATTAAACGATATCGGCCAGTGTGGTCCAACCTAGCTATCGGTATCGGCAAAATCCACTATCGGTCGACCTTCTTTTCTTCTGATTTCTCTCACCTGCTTCTTTCATTCACTCACCAAAGGCATTTTCCTGTGAGAAAAAAAATCAACACTTCTCCCATCAGTGTCCCACCTCTCTCTGATTCCCTTCCCGTTGCCTCATTCCTCTAACAAACCCCCCGTTGACTGCAATCACACACCAATATGCAGCGATGCCTGCCTCTCACGGCAGCAGACTGCAAGACCAATTCTCACTCCGCCAATGAAGCCAGAATTGCTGATGGCTGTTGAATACTCTACATCCTATCCATGAGACTTTCTATCTTCAATCTCTCTCTCTTTTTCTCCAATCTCTTCTCTTTTCTCTGCCAAGTTGGCACATGAGAGGTGGGCACCAGTGCGGAGCTAGGTTAAATATAGACATGACTAATGACTTGATGACTAATGAAGGTACGCCAAAGAAATCACATGCCCTGATGCCCCAGCCCAGCCGTTTGTCACTCAAAAGTTGATTCAAGATGACGGGAGTTGAAGTGAGTGTCTACTGAGTGCACAACAGACAGACAGAGAAATTAAATCAGAGATGAGCTGTACAATTTCATCTTGGGGGGGAAAAATATGGGGTGGGATGGGAAAGGGAGTGTTTACATCTGTCTATGGCCGGTTTACTATATCCTTTAAACCACATCCTGACTAGGCGAAATGTGACACGTTTCCAAGTAATAGATCTGTCCAGAAGGAAAAAAAGAAAAAAAGAAAAGAAAAGTGAATACAAAATAAAGGTCAATAATGTGACATATTTGATGTAAAAAGAAATGTTGAATAAATGAGGATTGAATGTGGGCAGGGCTAAATGCGGCAAAAAAATATTTATCACACAATATATATATATATATATACAGTATATATATAAATCTTGTTGCTAGTTGTGGTTTTTAATTGAATTTTTAATCTAATAATTCATTTAACTAAATAATATAGAAAGAACAAAGTGCTTACTGCCTTATCGGAATGAAAACAAAGACAGAAGGACAAAAAGGATATAATACCTAATGGAAAATGTATGTAGCCCACAAGTATCATGTGTCTAAGTAGCCATATCCTGTAAGCATTACAATGTTTCCTGCTATACAGTTTGCCTTATTTCAACCACATGCTTGAGACACTAGTAGAATCTCTCTCCGACATCAATCACACAGCTTCCTGTGATAAAGACCTAAAAAAAAAATCATTATGAGGAGCACAAAAGGGCAGCGGATTCCTCGTGTATCAGTCTCTCATAAACACCCACACACAGACGGCGAGGTTTGGGGGTTGTAGCACAGGTCAGTGAGCGTACGCCTTGGCAGTTCCGTGCCACCTGCTAACAGCCTGGCACAAGCACGAGAGACGTCTGCAACATGTACCGGAGACCACTGCACAGGTCAAAGGTCATCAAGGCCCCACCCTGAGCTCAGAGGACCAAGCAACAAAGCTATTCACTTTACACACATTTACATTCACCGCAGCGTAATCCATTAACCTGTCGGCAACATGTTTACGCCTTTGTATGCAGATCCAGATTGTGAGAGTGTATGTAAGTGTGTGTGCTGTTATGCTAAAAAACATCTGTTCTGTGACTGCCATTTACTACCGATACAAGCCAAATCACCTACGGCCATTTTAGCTCTGTCCGTATGGCTTCTTGGTTTGCTCTAAACGTTGAGTTTGCAGTCTTAAAAGACCTTATGAGATCAAAATGGGAGGCATTATTGTCCATGCGCGTTAATCTGATGCTAACCTATATACCAGCGCACAGCTAAAAGTTGACAATTACATATGACCTCTCAAAAGTTAAAGAAGTAAAAATAAATTAATACTTTAATTCAGCAAAAAACTAATTAAATTAATAAAAAGTGACATTAACAACATTTATAATGTTACAAATTATTTACATGTCAAATAAATGCTACTCTTCTGAACTATTCAATAAAAAAAAAATCATTTTTTTTGTTTTGTTTTTTATTAACTTTGATAATAATAAATGTTTTTGAGCACCACTGGAGGATTGTCTTCTGAAAATTCAGCTTTGCTATCAGCGGGAAAAAAATAAATACAATTATATATATATATATATATATATATATATAGTATATAATATTACAACTAGTGCTGTCAAATGATTAAATGCAATTAATCGCATTCAAAATAAAAGTTTTTGTTTACATAATATGTGGGTGTGTACTGTGTATATTTATTATGTATATATATAAAGACAAACACAGCATATTTTGAAAATATGTACATGTATTTACATGTATATATATATATATATTTATATTCATATAAATTATAT